CCAAGTAGCTGGGACCACAGGCACCCGCCACAACACTCGGCTGTTTTTTTGGTTGCAGCCGTCATTGTTGTTTTGGTGGGCCCAGGCTGGATTCAAACCCGCCACCTTAGGTGTATGTGGCTGGCACCTTAGCCACTTGAGCCACAGGCGCCAAGCCGCCACCCAAGACAATCTTAATAGAAATGCTTGATACTATTACACTGTGCTACTCCATCCACTGAAAGAGATGGACTATCTTCTTTTGTCCCCTCCCAACTGTGTACCTTTTTTGCAAAAATATACAAAGAGATAAAACAGGAGCCTGATAAACCGACAGAAAAATGAACTACATTAGGTTGGGGTACCAGATTACCACAAACATTTTAAGCTATTTTTCCAGATGCCGAATTACTCAGGAAAGGGCAGCACCTGTGGCTCAGTGAGTAGGTGCCGGCCCCATATACCAAGGGCTGCGGGGTTGAACCCAGCCCTGGCTAAACTGCAACAAAAAAATAGCCAGGCGTTGTGACGGGCGCCTGTAGTCCAGCTACTCCAGTGGCTGAGGCAAGAGAATCGCCTAAGCCAAAGAGCTGGAGGTTGCTGTGAGCTGTGACTCCACAGCACTCTACCCAGGGCAACAAAATGAGACTCTGTCTCTAATAAATAAATAAATAAATTACTCAGGAAAATTTGGAAATAGCAGTAGCACCAACCCAAGTAGCTCAGGGTACAGAAACTGAATGTGAGATGTGATGGGAGGGAGATGTGAGACACGAATATGCATCCAATTTACAGAGCATCCAGAAGGCAGAATAAAAATTACACACTCTGAAGCTATGGCCTGTGTGCACAGGGTGATCGTGTCCTTTGGTTCCATACTACTTTTCACAACCCAAATCCAGACAGCAAACATTGTGTAATGAAGTTCTATCAGTGGTATTCATAGTTTTGGAACACAGTTACACGCCACATGTTCATTATGGTGGCATCTAAGACTTAAGTTTTGTGGATAGTAGACAGGGAAGCCAAGAGTGGGAGGGAATGGGAAAATCGATTAGATTACAGGCATGGTAACGATCTTGTAAATATTAATTTCATTTTTCTCTGCACAACTCTGGGTGGGGGGTGGGGATAGAGAAGAGAATAAAAAGTTGCTCACCTGATTACAGGTCCCAAGAGGATTAGATGCATAAATAACGACAGTGGTCTATCTTTAGCCAGATCTCTGTGGACAAAAATGAGGGTCAACTGGACCATGATGGATGAAAACATGAAGAAGGAAAAAGTGTATGTCATCCAATATGTTTCACTATTCTTTCGGTAGATTCTAACCATGTACAAGGCAGATGCAGCCTCCCCACAGTACAAAAAGGTGGAGAAGAGGATGCCAAACGGAAAGGTAAAGCGGGGGTTAGACCCGCGGATGACATCTTCCTCCAGAGCTGAAACCGTAGCCACATTTGGCTCCTCCGGAATTTCATAAACTCTGTCCATTGTTGAGGTTCTTTCTGAGTGTTACAGTCTGATGTTCAGAGCACCTGCCCACCTATCCCCAAGAGAACCCTGTAGCCACTGCAGTCCAAATATCGGTGAGAAGTACTCTGTGAAGTCCAGCTGCGGAATGGAGATCCCCAAGTTAGACCAGGAGACCCCTTCTCTTTCAGACTCCAATTCGACTTGGAGTCTGGAATGGGAGCCCTGGAGTACAACTTGGAACTTGGCTCCTGATTGGCCCAGGATTCCAATCAACACATGTGCTGTGAAACTTGGACAAGACAAAAGCAAACATCCCAGCGTCCAGTCCGGAGTCCAAGTCCAGGCGCGTGAAGAGCCATGAGAAAGAGCAGCGGCTTCCCTGGCGGCTTCTTTCGCAGACCCCAGGCACCGAGTAGCCGCTCTATCTGGGAGCCGACTCTCAGCAGTTCCTAGCAAGGAGTCGTGAGCCGTGTGCCATCTCAAGTCAGCAGAGAACCGAGCCAGGGTAAAAGAGGACACGCAGCCTGGAGAGTCCCCTTGGGAGGTTAGTTCAGTGCCCAGCTAGCCTGGCTACTGCTAGGTTGTGCCTATTAGCTCGCCCGCTCGCCGGCTCACTCGCGCTCTCTCAGGACCGCCGCAAAGTCCTAGGTCCTCAAGATAGCTGCTGGAGTCCCCCAAGCTCCGCCCCCAAGACAGCCAGGCGGGGGCGGGAGTATTGCCACAAGTCTGTCCACCACTGCAGTCCCACCGAGAGCAGCTGGGAGCGCGCGCTCTATAGGATCAAGAAAAGGCTAGAGGGGCTTCTTCTCCTGAGAGGAACTTTGCTAGTGGAGAGGTACGATGGGCAAGGCGCCAACCCCGCTGGGCAGATGTCGTCAAACCCGTGGATGCTGTCTGCTGCCAGGGTCCCGTCTGGCTGGCGAGTCCTGCCGCGAGAGGTCGGCAGCTTCAGAAACTAAGACACCGGGGTGGCCAGGACAGGACAGATGGGCGGGACACTTGGGACCAAAAAAAAAAAAAAAAAAAAAAAAATCAGCCAAAGAGTTTTAGCGAGGCCAGCGGAAGGATTCTCCCAGTATAGAGATGGGACAGGAAAGGGGCTTAGGCCACTTTTCAGACCCAGGAGGGTGCCACAGTTTTCACCTTCCCCAAGAGCACCAGGCGCCCACTTCTACCTGGCCCTGCCTAAACTAGTTAAGAGGCTTGCTCCCACAGTCTCTCAACCCACACGGTTAGACAGGTGTGTCTTCTTTGGCCTCAGACTTGAACTTCCCTAGGTCCTATTGCCCTCCAGATAACATCAAGGGAGAGGGAACCTGGGAGACAATTGGGACAGAGTTTCCAGCAGAAGGAAGATGGAAGAGGATAGAAGTCAAGACTCAAGGTCATCCCACAGATACTTAAAAGTTCACATTATATACCTTAATTTCTCCACTTGCAAAGTGAGGCCAAGATAGGAGCTTTGGAATGAACTTTTGGGTATTTAGTTGAAAGGTTCTGAAGAGGTGCCAAGTTCTAAATAGACTGGAGAACAGCCAAGAGAGCTGTTAGTAAAAACTGAGAGGGGTGTCTTAAAGAGCTCTGAAAATTGCCTAGATTCTTAAGAGCAATCCTCCCCCACCTCACTGAGCTTTTGTTTGCATCCCTTCATTTGCATAATTCTAAGCCGCAGAGAAAAAGAGAAAACATCTGTCTCCTGGTAATAATATAAATATAGAAGAGCCTGCGCCAATCTCTTTTTGCTGCAGTAAGTCAGTAAAACGAATCTCTGTGAGGAGTGGACAAGTAACAGCCACCAAAACGATGGCCTCAAGATAGACTAGTCTTGTGGTTGTGATTTTTTTCCTTTTTTTTTTTTTTTTTTTTTAAGGTTCCCGTGATTCTGCCTCCTTTCCCCAGGGCTGATTCAGGAGCAGATTCTACATCTAAAGGTTGCCTTTGGAAGTAGACTTCTTCTGTGGGTCTACACCTGTGCTAGCAGCTGGGCTAGGAGGCTGTTCCTTCCTCCTTTCCATTTCACAAGGGAGGTCAACACTACTGGGAACAACTTCCAAGTGTTGATTGGTTGGTACGTTCCAACTGGGATGAGGTTCTCCACCAACAGTATATGAGGCAGAACCTTTTGGGGCTGAAGAACCTGTTCACTAGGTGGATCTCAGGTAGGATGACCAACTCATCGCATTTCTCTGAGATAAGGGCAAATTGGTCACCCTGACACAATAGAAAAAAGCTAGGAAGAATAAAGAATCCCAATGTTTTTCTTTTAGGCTTTCCTCCTTCTATGTGGCATCTCTCCCCCAACTATACAAATGTGCAAAGACTTCCTACTTTGTTCCAAAATGACTCCTGTCATTCAAAGCTTTATATACTCACTACACTACTTCCCTCTCAAACTTTTATCACCAGCGCTACCTTACCACACACCCTTTGCTTCAATCCAGCTGTTCTTCTCACTTCTCATATATATTTTTTTTTTGAGACAGCATCTCACTTTGTTGCCTTTCGTAGAGTGCCACAGTGTCATAGCTCACAGCAACCTCAAACTTGGGCTCAAGTTATCCTCTTGCCTCAGCCTCCCAAGTAGCTGGGACTACAGGCACCTGCCACAGCACCTGGCTAATTTTAGAAACCGAGTCTTGCTCTTGCCCAGGCTGGTCTCAAACTCCTGAGCTCAGGCAATCCACCCACCTCAGCCTCCCAGAGTGCTAGGATTCTAGGCATGAGCCACTGTGCCCGGTCTCACCTCTCATATTTACCTTGGTCACTCCTACCTCTATGCCTTGATATCATTTACGGCCCCCTTTGCCCTTTTCTTCATTAGTCCAAATGCTAACTTTCCTTCAAGTGTTAGCTGGAGGTCCATCTCCTCCAGGAAGTATTCTCTGACTTCCTGAACCCTCACTTTTCTTTGTGCTACTTGCACATGCTTTCTCGTACTAGTTTTTCACTTCTGTTTGCCTGCTTCCTCAAAAGAAGTATGAAGTCAGTGAGGGAGGGGTGCTTACTGACTGTTTATTGCAATACTTGTTGATGAAAATGGTGACTGACAAATGGGAGTGATGATGAAGCTTCCTCCCCCGTACTTCCTCCAAGCAGCCATCCAGGACTCTGACACACTTATCTCTAAAAGCTGTGGCCAGGTGGCGCCTGTGGCTCAAAGGAGTAGGGCACCGACCCCATATCCCGGAGGTGGCGGGTTCAAACCCAGTCCCCGCCAAAAACTGAAAACAAAAAACAAAAAACAAAAAAAGCTGTGGCCACTAGAGCCAGGATATTCAGCTCACAAGAGGATGCCTGCCAGCCCACATGATCTGTCCCTTATCAGAGTTCATATGGCATTTTTTTTGATCAATACCGCAGTTTAGCACCAAATTACAAATTATTTCAAGGGTATTTTTGTCCCTCAACTGAATTATTATAGATTCCTTGAAGACACAGACTCTACTATTATACTTTTAGTGGATTCCTCCTTAGCTGGTATAGACCTGTTAAAGTTCCTGCCATCTGATCCTCTCACACACCAGCTTCTCTATTTTCAACCCTAGGACACTCTGACGCTTTAGGTCACTAAATCTTCTGGTCTCTTATTTCCCTGTTCCTTTGTCCTGTTGGGAGAAGCTAATTGAGAACTTTCCCTGTTTCTGTCCAACACTCTTTGGTTTTTCACGCTATCTCTAGATTCCAGCTCTTTCCTCTTAAGCCTAGAGATGCTCAAAATGTTGTTAGTCAGGAGACTGCTGAGGCCCTGGGGCCCCCTTGCCCATTAAGAATACTGATCTCCCAAGGACTGGTCATCTGAGGTGATCCTAAGCTAGGTAGTGTTCAAGGGTCAATTTCTCTCTCTGAAAAGCACCAAAATTGTGGGAGAATCAAGATCTGACTCCTTACCCACCCTACCTCTGACTCCTGCCTCAGTAAGGACAAAGAACAGATATAAAAGTCATCTGGTCTGAAAGCTCTGGGCATGTTTATCAGCATTCAGAACCCCTCTGAACCATATTAGGTTCAGGGATACGGAAAGTTTTCCAAGACACTACAGCCTGCCCACTGCTCATAGGCCTCCAGGAGCTGCTCTGTGAGAGGTGCTTGGCATTCACATGGGAGGTGGTAAAGGACAGAGAAGAAGGGGAGCATAGCTCACTGCAACCTCGGACTCCTGGGCTCACATGATCTTCCTGCGTCAGCCTCCCGAGTAGCTGGGACTACAGGCAGGTGCCATCATACCAGGCTGATTTTTCTATTGTTTTGAAGATATGGGGTTTTTGCTCTTGCTCAGGCTTGTTTTTTTCTATGGACTGCTCGGTTTGGGCTGTTAGCATCCTTAAACAATACCTAATGCAAAATCATTCATGTATCACCTGGGTCTTATTTCTCTTTTTGCTGTAAGTTTCCTGAGAACATAAAACTCCCCAGGTGGCACCTGTACTCAGTGGATTGGTGGCCAGCCACATACACCAAGGCTGCTGGGTTCGAACCTGGCCCAGGCCAGCTAAAACAACAATGACAACTGCAACAAGAACAAAAATAGCTGGGTGTTGTGGCAGGTGCCTGTTTTCACAGCTACTTGGGAGGCTGAGGCAAGAAAATTGCTTAAGCCCAAGAGTTGGAGGTTGCTGTGACCTGTGATGCCATGGCACTCTACCCAGGGTGAAAGCTTGAGACTCTGTCTCAAAAAAAAAAAAAAAAAAAAACCCTCCCCAGTTAGTTCTGAGCCACTCCCTCATTAGTATCATCCATAGCTGGGAGCTGGGCCTGGAGTCAAAACACAGTGAGTCTCCTGCAGCCCTCTCCCCTAACATTTTCTTCAGCAAATATGGTTATAAATGAACATGTAAATTAGCCTTGAAGGGAAAGAAATGCTATCACAAAATAAAGCATGGCATTTGGGGACAATGAATGTTGCCAGGCAGCCGGCTAGTTTATTTACATTGCCTGGTACGGGGAGGGGAAGGAGGAAGAACGAAATGGATATAGCTTTATTGTGATATAATTCATATACCATACAATTCTCCCATTTAACGTGTACAGTTTAGTGGTTTTAGTATGAAGTT